CGAAAGACACGGCTGAATATGTCGCGAATCCATGAAAGGGGCGAGACAAAATCCCAGTTGAAAGTTTAGCCTTATCTTCGACTTGGACCGTCCAGCTATCATCTGTGGATTCTGAAGGGTCAATGGAAATTTAATTTATATAGAAATTAAAGTCTTACTCGGCGTCTTTATATGGCGGAAAATGCGCAATTTATTTCTAAGTAATAAGATGAAATGTAAAATCGGACGAGAAATGGTATGGGCTTCAGGATATGAAATTCTGCGCCAAATGGGATATTGAGATCAATAGAAATTTAATTTATATAGAAACTGAAGTCTTACGCGGCGTCTTTATATGGCGGAAAATGCGCAATTTATTTCTAAGTAATAAGATGAAAGAGAAATCGAAAGAGAATTGGTATGAACTTTAAAATATGAAAGCCTGCGTTAAATGGGACATTGAGATGGAAGGTAGGATCCAAATTTCGAGTCGGGCAACGGAAAAAAGCAGAAATGAGCTTCAAATAAAAGATATCAAGTTGACGTTGAAAGAAATATCGAAGTCGAAAGTCCGCGACTACGGTTAATATTAGTGCGTACATTCACGCGTCACACTTTTTTATACGCGTCACTCTTACCTTTTGCACTTGTTTCATAATGCATTCTGCATCTGCATATCATTCTTTTGTATTGCAAGTCGTGTGAATTTTTTATGCAACAATATCGAGCGGAATATTGAGATCGTATTCGCTTCTAAACGTGTTATTGATGTCACGCGAAATAATACAATTCCATGGCAACGAATAATGACCGGTTAACTAACAGATGTATGAGTTATACAGATACGATAAGTGTGGCAAGCGTAATTTCGTGTACTCAGATATCTTTCTCCTCGCGCGTGAAAGGCTTCCTCGAGATCCAACGAGAGAGTCAAAAGTCTAAAGCGATTTCAGCGTTCATTTGATACGAACCTTTGTCGGAACGATTTGGATTTTTCGTTGTTTCTCTTCAAACACAAAGAGATTCGCGGAGTCTATTGTACGCGAGTACTTCCAATATGTTTACTTTTGCTACGCTAATTTCGCAGCCACGCTCAGGCTGCTTTTGAGACGCCTTGGCATATCGATTATTTCCCGAATACTTATCTTACTGAATATACCGTACTTATCTTACCGTATATATTTTATCGAATTAGTGAAAAATGGTGGTTTCGCGAATATATATAAGTCGCCGTGTCGTGCGACATTAAAGATTGAGACAAATTGCCGGATCAGCCTGCAACTTTGCAAGACTCGCCGTCTCTGTAATATGCTACGGTTGATCGCGGTCGGTCCGTTACTTGTACCAAACGGATATAGTTAGATTATTTTCTCTGGCCTACGTTATAATTTGAATGGCCGCCTTGACATTTGGCATTTGACGTGATTCTTCTGATCGTCGTCGATATCGTTACATTGCGTATGAATAAAACTTCGCTTCCCGTATCTTCAATAACAATGCTTCGCGAATGTATATATTCGCTAATTATCATTTGTGCACTGCTCGCGATTGTTGATTTACCATTTATGTTAATCTCCTAAGGTCAGACTCGTAATCGAGGCGTGCGGAGAAGGCCAGACTGTCAATAAATCCTAACTCGTTCCCGGGAAAATAAAAATGCCACTGCGCTTAATTAGAAATGCAAAACAACGGCGGAGGAGGAGACTCAAAGGAAAGTGTATTACGGGACAGCCGAATTCATCAATCATCCGTCGCAAAGATAGCACCCATTCAATCTTTTAGCGATATAATGACGTCAGTTTTGACGTTGATTGTTGGAACACCCCTTCCCGCCCCCCTTCCCACCGCCACCGACCGGTCAACGTCAGAGACCGGTCACGGAACTTTTCGAAAAAAATTTACGAGGAAAAAGGACTTTATTGATATTCTCTTGATATTGTACCTGTCTTGTTTGTTTTATAGACGAATGTCGTTTCCACGTGAACATAACATAAAATTAACGCCTGCCTGATATGATAAAGATAGCAGAAATGTGTTTCTTAATTAATAAGTGTTGAAACGAGAGAGCAAGTTGGCTCGACCGATGCGGTCTTTATATTTTCTAGAGATGTGCACACTCACTTTGTATATTAATACTGCGAATTAATACAATCGTATTGTAAATATTACTGGTATGGCGACTTTTTGTACCTCGATGGTTTTTTGCTTGCTCTTTGAAATATCTTCCGAAAAATACAGAGAGACATTAATTCATAAAGTGAGTCGTGCAAAAAAAAAGTACTTAAAGTAAGTACTCGATGATTTGTTATTTCGCATATTAAATAATAATATTAGAATTTAAAATTAGGACCAAATTACGACGCAAAAGCTTCTCAGAGTACAAATGTGTGATGTACAATTATGCGAGTTACATGCTAATTTTATAAAATAATGTTATAGATATATATATATATATCTATAATATATGTATCCTATGGTATTATTTATTTGGCCATTAATTACTATATTATTCAATTTACGAAATGAGATAACTTTTTCCTGTTGCCTATAAAACAAATGAAACTTAAGGAAAGAAATTGATTATAATGTAAAATAGATCGTCCACACGTATGCATATTTAAGATATTGAACCGAGTGAACTTTTATGCAGCTACGATTTATTCAACAAAAACAGAAGATGTCTTTCAAAATTTCCAACTTCATCCTTGATGAAACGAACTAATCAGTTTTTTCTCAAACAGCATTGCACACAGACGAGCTGACTGACTGTACTAAATTATAAAAACATTCAGTATTTTGATGATAAAATTCCGATAACAAGAGATTGACGATTTTTTCTCATAATTATTTATCTTGTGAGATTTGATCTTCATTGTTGCAACAGTTTGCAAGAATTACATTCAAAAACTCATCTTTTTCCTTGTAATTTATAATTACTATTTGAACTCAATTGGTATGGTGGAAACCAAGGAAGTATTGTCCTAAATGTTATATGAATCATTTAGTCAGTAATCAATTACCAGAAGAATGAATAATTGAATAAAATAGACTGGAAAGCTTAATGATTATTTAACACATTTAAATAAATACATAATTAATTTAACACATTTAAATAAACATCATATAACTATTTCGTGTATATATATATATATATATATATATACAGGGTGCACGATTTATTTGAAGACATTGAAATATCTCGAGAACTATGCATTGGATAAAAAAAAGTGGTTAATGAAAGTTGTTAGTCTCGAAGGGGGACATCCGATGATACCAAACTCGACCTCCCACCCCACCCCCTGGGGGTGGGAATTGGGGGCAACTTTGAAATCTTAAATGGAAATCCCCATTTTTTATTGCAGATACGGATTCTACGCCACAAAATACGTAAATTTTGTCCGAAACTTTTTTTTTTGATTCGTGATAGATGGCGCTGTAATCGCAAAAAATTATATTTTCCGCAATTCTCCAGAAATGATCATTGGATTGAGAAATAAAAAATACCTGTTCAATATTTTTAAATCAACAAGTGCCAACAACTCGTGAAAACATGGTAGAACTCATAAGAAACGCTTGCGCTGAAACTCCCGCAGATATGCTTCTATCCTGTGTACAGTCATTTGAAAAAAGGATCAATAAGTGTATTGAAGTTGAAGGTAAAAATTTCGAACACTTACTCTAATTAATTGAACAGTGAGAGGCAAGGGGACTCACATTAAAAAAGCACCCGAAGGGAACATAAAACTACTACGTCCTCGTCGTTGTTCCTGTATAACGCTAAAAGTAGTTTCTCGGAAAAATTCAACGCTATCACGAATGAAAAAAATTGTTTCAATAAAAATTTCACGTACAATCTAATTCTGCAATGAAAAATGTGGATCCCCATTTGCGATTTGAACGTTATCACTCACCCTACCCCGAGAGGATGGGGGGGAATAACTTTTATTATGTTCTTTAAAAATATTGAACAGGTATTTTTTATTTCTCAATCCAATGATCATTTCTGGAGAATTGCGGAAAATATAATTTTTTGCGAGTACAGCGCCATCTATCACGAATCAAAAAAAAAGTTTCGGACAAAATTTACGTATTTTGTGGCGTAGAATCCGTATCTGCAATAAAAAATGGGGGTTTTCATTTAAGATTTCAAAGTTGCCCCCAACCCCCACCCCCAGGGGGTGGGGTGGGAGGTCGAGTTTGGTGTCATTGGATGTCCCCCTTCGAGACTAACAACTTTCATTAACCACTTTTTTTTATCCAATGCATAGTTCTCGAGATATTTCAATGTCTTCAAATAAATCGTGCACCCTGTATATACTTTCTTGTCGGTTATTCTTAAATACTTTTCATTTCATATCGAGATGGACTTGACAAGATAAAGAGACAAATCTTATGCCATGAAATCTTTTCAATTCGTAGAATATAACCTTGACATTAGTAAATATGACTAATGGAGCTGCGTACACCATTACGCCCGTCGAAAAAATAGGCAAACGGAATGAATAAATATTCATCATGTTAAATTGAATTCCTTCGGTCTTCAATGTCAGAAATAAAGGCTCTCGAAAATTTTACCTTTCTGCTCCTTCTTCTCATGTTTTCGCAATCCCTTAACCTTCCTCGGACAGCAATATAGTCATTCATGATCGAACAGTAACATCACGCATTACAATGTAAATTCAAAAATACTAACTGTAACGCGTTTCACATACACAAGTTACACATAGTGTCCTCTTTCGTTCGCGTGTTTAAGTAGATAGTAGATGTACTTAGGCCCAGTTCCACAACTTGCTTTAAACTCCGTTTAAAGCAAGTAAGATATCGTAAGATATCGCTACTATCAGAAAGAAACCTGAGAGAGGCCACATTCTATGGTAGCGAGTTACCATAAGATGGAACGAACTTTATTTCAGTACACTTGTTCAGAGGTCGCGTCGAAAAATGCATCACCTAGCTACTATAGGATTGTTTTTAGGCTTGCTCTGTTACTATATTGTCGAAGCTACAACGGTATAGAGTAAAACACGTGGGTTTATGAATTAGGATTCATTGTAATAAGTGGTAGTATGTATGTATAATTCACGTGCGGAAAAGGCGTAAGGATTCTCAATTTTAACTTTTCTTAGAATAAGAATATTCAAGTAAGTGTAAAATTTCGACGATATCTGAAGTTTCAAGTGTATCTCAGTTTTCTACAACTTTCATGATACAATAAGTTTGGAGATGAAACATTTTGCATTGAGGTTAATCTTAGACCAAGTTGAAATCAAGAAAAGTGATTTAAATTTTGAAGTGAATTAAATTTTGATATTCAGATAAAGGGATAAAATCAACTTCTTTTTTAAATTTGCATGTTTGTTATCGTGTATAATGTAAATGATATCAAGATAGATTCATATGTTATGTCATGTATTAGACTTGATAATAGAATTTCATAGTTCATATAACATGTATTTCTTAGAGATCCATTCAGGGATGAAGCAAGAAGTAAAGAAATTAAATTCTGAAAATGATACTGCTATAAAACGTAACATTGAGGAAGCAACAAATAGTGGGAAGAAGAAGAAGAAGAAAGTGAAATGTGAAATATCCCAAAATAAAAAACCTATAGGTAAGAATAAAAGAATGATATAGATAAAGAATATAATAATAATATTCCAGAAATTGTTATAAGCAAAATAAACAAGGATATTTTTGCAGATCAAAATGTAAAGAAACCTGCGATTAAGAAAGGTTTAGAAAAAAAGAATTCACAAGCAGCAAAGCATAAAATGTCAAATTCTGCAGATGGTGGAAAGAAGAAGAAAGTAACATTTGAGATTCCCTTAAACAAGAACACTACAGGTAAAAATAAAAGAGTGAAAATAGTGATACTTAAAAAAATGTTATATGGAAAAATAAAAAAATATTTTTTCATTAATAAATATAAAAGAGAATAATTAAACGTATATATAAAGAAATATTATTAAATATAAAGAAGAATATTTATTATTTTCTCATTTAATTGTTTTTTACAGGTCAAAGTGTAAAGAAGCCTCCTGCAATGAAGAAAGATTCAAAGAAAAAAGATTCAAAAGCAGCAAAATATAAGATCACAAGTGAGAAAACAGACTGGCTCAAACTGAAAAAGGAAAAGAAAGAGCTTAAGAAGACACGTAAAGTGAAGAAATTAAATGATGATAAATTATATAATTTGATCCTTCAAGCTAAGCAGATCAATGAGAAGTTACGTAGATCTGATTGCACTCAAGAAGATCGTAAAAAGTTGACACAAACTTTACATAATCGATTGGAAGGTCTTTACAGTAAAATAATATTCACACACGACATGTCGAGAATAATTCAATGTCTGATCAAGCATTGCGAAGCTGATGTTCGGGAAGCTATATTTTGTGAGATAAAATCGTCCATTTTAGAAATGTCACAGGCGAAATATGCTAAGAACTGCGTGAGAGCTATTTTAAAGTATGGTTCGCAAAAAATCAGAAACGAAATTGCGACTACGTTTTACGGCAGTGTCGTCAAGTTAATGAGTCACACTGTATCAGCCCCCCTTATCGAGCTCGTGTATTCTTCTTGGTGCAAGGATCACGACAAGATATATTTTAAGCAAGAGTTCTACGGCGACATGTACAAACAGGCGAAAGACAAGTCTGTTAAAACATTGTCGGACGTATTTGAGGCTGCGACGAATATGAAACCGGCTACATTGTCCGCTGTGAAAACAAATCTAGTTAGAATCTTAAATAAAGGTCTCATTAATTCGACTCTATTGCACACAATCCTGTGGGAATTTTTCTGTGTGTGTTCGGTAGAGGATAGGAGCGAGTTGATCGTTATGTTGCGTGATTCGATTGTAGCACTGGCCCAGACGAAAATGGGGGCGAAGGTCGCCGTGCAATGTATATGGCATGGCAATAACAAAGACAGAAAGATTATTCTGAAAGCCTTCAAAGAGAATGTAAAATCAGTTAGCACGTCTGAACACGGTTACATGACATTTTTGGCACTCTTCGATTCCATGGATGATACAGTTATGATAAAAAAGATAATACTGACTGAATTGCAAAAGGACTTGACCGATATCGCACTGAATGAGTACGGAAGACGCGTTATATTGTATCTCGTGGCTAGGAGGGACTCTCATTACTTCCCGCCAAATGTCGTGGAATACTTGCGCCAGGGAGATAACAATTCTACAAGTAAGAAGCCAGTCGACGTCCGGGAAAAGGAGCTCCTTGAGGCGATCAAAGATTCGCTTCTCACGGCCATAACAATAGACGCAGCAACGTGGTTATCCAACAGTGCCATAGCTATGGTTACCTTGGCAATATTGAAAGTGGGATCCGGGGAAAAATTACCCGCCGCGTTCGAATCGATCGCGAAGTTTATCAGCAAGGTAGATTTAAAGATCGAGCATGGTGATGCCGAATGTAGCGCGGTCGAGCATCCAGGTTTACATATGATGTTGAAAAAGCTTATTCAGAATGATAAAGAGTTACTGAAGATGAATGAATCTACGTTTGGAGAGATACTGACATCGCATTTAACGGCGGAAGTTTTAAAAAAATGGATAAAATTTAACAGAGCCTGTTTCCTATTAGTCCTCCTCACAGAAAACGAATCTGAGAAGATGATATCCATGTTGGTTACCAAATTAAAACCTCTAGTGCAGAGACTTAAATTAGAAAAGAGTTCTGGAGCATCGATATTATTGAAAAAAATAATTTAATTTTAAGTCTTATAGCGTTAAAAATAAAAATGTTTGGAATGTCTGCACATAGTTACAAATTCTTCATATAATTCCTTTAATTCTTTTTACCATCATGCATCATTTTTATATAATATATAATAATAAAATCTGTTTACGTCTGTGAAAGATTTTATTTTGTGTAGTTATAACAAGGAACATTTGTAGAAATAGATATTTAAAGATTTTGTATTTTATAATCATAAAATCTATAAAATCAATATAATAGAGAGAGAGAGAGAGAAGTTACTTGAGATCTTTCACAGTAGATATAACATAATAAATTTTATGGTAAATAGTAAATAACTACCAGCAGTACTAAAAATTTATAGTTTATGTCACATACACTATAGATTTTCAGTACTGACGAATATCGGAATGCAAGGTTTGTTAGGTTACACTTTCTACACTTTATTGCTTCTTTCTTTCTCTCTTATTGGTTCTCAAATGGAGAGATGTATCTATTTCGTTTTAAATGAAAAAAGTACAGTTGATTCGAGCGGACCTCGTTTAACCGATAAATTCAAAATAGCGAGTATATAACCTAGAGAGATGTCGGAGTTGCGCGACGAAAACGTGACAGATAATACGAAAGATGAGGAATATTTAGATGAAAGTTCTATCGTTCAAGATGATTACAAAAAACTGAAGCAGGAAAACGAGTGCTATCGGCAAGAGTTGTACGTTTTACGATTCAAGTTGAAAGCAAGCGAAGCACTCGAGGAAGAACTTCAGGAGGCTAATGAAGCTTTAGAGCAATCGCTCGCTCAATGTACAACAAAAGCGGAAAAAGCATCTCTCGAAAGGGAGGAAAAGTAAGAATTAAAACTGTTTCAATAAAAATTAACTAATGTTTTGTGATGAATTTATAATACATCATAAATACATCAAATATGTACAGGACAAATTTCCTTAAATATTATTTAAAAGAATTGTACTTGGAGCTTTTACATTTCAACTTGTATCTTTTTTGATATGCATAAAGTATTATTCAGTTGCGTGTAGCACACCTGATGATATTTTAAAATTTTGAAAGATAAATTTTAATTGAATATATATATATATCTCTCTCTCTCTCTCTCTCTCTCTCTCTCTCTCTGATATATGTTCATCTTATTCCATACATTGTGATATTTTATATATTTGTATCTTATGTATAAAAAAATCGAGTTGTTTTTATTCCTCAGATATAGGACTAAGAGGGCAGAATATGAGAACCACATTGTAAATTTAGAAACTAAGGCTATACAAAGTACACAAGAAATTATTGAATTACGGGAGGAGCTAAAGAAATATAAGGAATTTAAAAATGAACAACAACAGAATCTCACTCTTAATGAGGATAATTCAATAGAATATAAAGAAAAAATTGAGGAATTAGTTAAACTGCTTCAAAATGAAGTAGAGAAGCAGGAACAATTGGAGGAGAAATTCGCTAACATGAAGAATTATATTCAAGAACTTCAAGATACTTTGCAGGTAAGACACAAAACATCACTTGTATTTATTAATTGATATATATTGTAAATCTCATTTGGTATATATATGATCAGGTAACAAAGGAACAGTTGGCCGAAAAAGATATGGCATTGGAAAATACACGCGAAGAATTAGCTGTGAGCCGTATAGAATTAGAGTCATTAAAAATAACTCCTGCTAATGATGCGTGTAAAGGTAAGATAATACTCAGTAATTTTCTAAAATATAATATCACCTGCAAATTTTTCAAGATTCTGTTGTATTATAGGCAATTCCTTGTTCGCTGAAGTGGAAGATCGCCGGCAAATGTTGTTGGACAAAATGAATGTGTTACAAGATAAATATAACGAAGCGAAACGAACGTTAAATAAAAAAATAAACGAAATTAGAACGTTGAAGATGGAAAAGGCTGCCATGGTTCGAAAATGGGAAACTGATACGATTGATGCACTACAGGAGAACGCAGACCTAATAGATAAATACAAGAGCAGAATTTTTGAGCTCGAAAATAAATTAAAGGCTGAAATGAAAAAGAATAATCAGATGGAAGAAATACGATCTGATGATGGTGATAGTTTTAAGTGAGTTAAAAGATTTTTTTCTTTTATTTCGATCTCTTATGGCTTATTTGATAGTTTAATATGAACGTATTAATGTTTAGTTATGCTGAATCGTTGTTAGCAACAAAGAAAAAAGAACTCGCGGAATTGCATAAGAAACTTGAGAAGCAAGCTATAGAAATGTTAACGCAAGAAGAAGTGAACTATGATATTTCGAAACAGCTACGGTATTGGCGATCTAAAGCAATGTCTATGGAGGCAAGTATATATTTACCTTTCTAGGAAGATTTTTCATTTTCAGACTTATGCAATTTCTTCTATTATTTAGGCCCAAATTTTAGCTATAAAGACGCAATTAGAATCAGAACAGGCAAACGATAATAACAATAAAACTGTTTTGGAAGATATCAAGAATTATACGACCATTAACAACACAGATTTAAAAAAGACCTGTGATTTACATATTGTACCTGACATGCCGGATAATAATACATGCTGTGGAAAATCCACGGATATATCCGAAATACCAAGAGCAGATGGATGTGCGATTGAACAGAAAGAAGCTGGTGGAAAACTCTTACGATTCGCTCAGGACGCCAAAGACACCGGGAGTAAATCTTTAAAGAGGCAACCCAAACAATATGATTATCCTATTATATCCATTCCCGATATTTTATAATCTTAAATATTCTTGCGATATATTATGATACTCGTACTATTTTAACGACTAATCCGATTTAATACGTTTATATGATATATACACCCGAACTATGAGATAAGGGAAAATAATCGTGTGTGGAGAAATGCAAATACATCTTCAGATTGTATTATTTAATAAAGTGATATAAATTTTTTACTTTCTTAAGGGTGTGTTCAGTTTCATTACGTCATTTATTGATTGATATTAAAAAATATGCGTGATGCAATGGAAGATAATTTATGAGGCACATCTTTTAACTTTTTCATTAGCTTCTACGTTTATCGATTAAATTGAAACGAAGCACATAAATAAATATATTTTTTGATTGTTTAAGATAAGAAGTACGAAATTTATCATATCGTATGCGTCAATTTTTTTGACAACGATTAAATTTGCATGTAACTTTAAAGAATAAAGGAGATAATGTAAATAGTTGATGAAATTTTATATAGTTTTTGCAAATTATATATATACATATATATATGCGTGTACGTTTATTTATTATATATATTTCTCTTATATTTGATTGATATCTACATATAAGCAAGCACACATATACCGCAATTTATGTAAGTTCTCAAGCACATTGATCGATTTTAGCGGAAACTTTGTTAATAAAAGTATATAAGATTTGAAATATAAAATACACTTAATCGTGTATTGATTGGATATGTTTTCGAAAAAAAATAACTTGCGCAAGGTATAAGTACATATTAGCAAATCACATGTGGGCTTTTAGTGACTAGTCACTGTAATCATTAAAATACGATGAGCTAGCTTTATACTTTATTCATTCGCTAAGCGATATAGCGTTTAGGTCAAATTGCGTTGTCATGTCCAATGTTAAGAAGCTATTCCCCTCTACTCGTTGTATTGATTCGTTTGTCATTCTGTCTTAGTATAAAAGTGTATTTCATCGTTTAGTGCACCAGATTACAAATGTGACTTGGAAGTTCTTTTCGCGATTATCTTGGCAGGCAATCTAACATTTTGTGGGAACACTCCTCGGCAAAAATCGGAATTGGTGAGAATTTGAAGAATCTATCATTTGCCTCGTTAAATCAGTGATGTTAATTAGAAATTTTTATTTTCCGACCGCACAGCAAGAGTGTGTGTATTTAGAACGAACGTCTTTTCCTCAGACACACTGACGTAATGACACAGAAGAATGAAGCCTGTATCAACGACTTGCTGAACATGTCCGATCCTTCAGACACCAACAATTGCCAGAGCGAAGTCTCCCAGTGTTACACAGGATGTAACATTCTTGTAACAGGCGGTTCCGGCTTCCTCGGCATACTTCTGATAGAAAGATTATTGCGGCAAGTACTTAAGCACGCAACAATATATCTCTTACCTTCTCTTTTATAATAAGCAAGATTCTGTCATAGCCATGCGAATTATATTCATATATACGGTAGATTACGCAGTCACAACCGGATTATGTCGGAATATTTGTGTGTTTTAGCGTCCCATTCGGCGCTGTTTCAACATTGCTGATACGTTGTTGAAATATTGCTCGCCGAGTGGGATATTATTAACAAATTAAAAAACTGATGTTTCTAGTAAAATATAAATAAAAATTAAATGAAAGTACAAATTAGACGTAAAATTTATACCATTCTAGAGCAGAGCTTGGCAAAATGTGCACGCGACGGCCGATTTTCGACTATCTCCGCCCACCGCTATTCCCTTTACCTCGCCGCTCCGCGCGTTGCCTGCAAGCCGCTCGAGCCTCAGGAGCGTGTTTCCAATAGTTTTCACATCACCCATGAGGTACTATTGTTGACGTGTTTTTTTTTTAAGTGGTATCCCTAGGAGGCCTTTTCATTTTTCAAAAATGAAGTTTATAAAAAATGAGAAGTGTTCTTCTTTAAGCGACGATTCCTTACCACGTCTTATGCGGTTCGCTACATGCAATATCCAAATTGACGTTTCCACTCTTACCAATAAAAGACGCCGAAAATCGAATTGAATATTCTTCATTTAACATATTTTATTTCGCTTCTGTTCAATTAGTTACGGGTTGTTACAGACATCAGTGGATTAGGCTTACCGGGGACGCCACTTAAAAAAAAAACGCGTTAACAATAGTACTTCATGGGTGACGTGGAAAACTATTGGAAACACGCTCCTGAGACTCGAGCGGCTTATAGGCAGCGCGCGGAGCGGCGAAGTAAAGAGAATAGCGGTGGGCGGAGATAGTCGAAAATCGGCCGTCGCGTGCACATTTTGTCGAGCTCTGTTCTAGAGTATAGAAATCGCGATACAGACACGTATATACCGAGAATTTTATTGAAAAGAAGTGCTATATATTTGTAGATGCTGCCCGGGTATAAGAAAGTTGTACATGTTTATAAAAGAGAAGAAAGGAAAATCAGCGAAAGAGCGATTCAAAGAGCACTTTGACAATGTTGTTAGTATAACATAAGAGGAATATATATGTGTTATTATATAGAAAGCACTCGTAGTTCCTGTTTCGCGATTTTCTTTTAATCTCTGTCTTTAGGTTTATGATAAATTGAAGAAAGAGCAGCCTGACTTTATTAGCAAAGTAGTAATGATAGAGGCTGACATGGGCGAGGCAGATTTCGGCATATCGCCAGAAAATCGGAAACGTCTCTTAGACACAAACATAATCTTCCACTTGGCGGCGGCCGTGCTATTTAATCGGACGATTCAATTTATGGTTAACGTTAACGTAAGGGGAACCAAAGAAATTCTTCTTTTCGCGAGGGAGATGCCGGGCTTAAAGGTACCGTTTCAGTTTTATTTTATTTTATTCCCATTTTAAGTGCATCACATTGCAATCACGTTGATCATTTGATCATTTTTATTTAGGCATTCGTTTATGTGTCGACCGCATATTCTTACTGTATGCACAAAGCGATAGATGAGAAATATTACACTCCGCCTCTGGAGACGGACAAGATATTAACGTTGCTCAATGTTCTGGATGATAAGACATTGGAGAAAATAACACCGATGTAAGTGCCATTACAAAAATTCAAACGGCGCGTCCTTTGTCCCAGTTTGTTTCAATCCTATTCTATTCTTTCTTCTATTCTATTCTATGTAAACGCAATAAATATCCTCATCGTTGCAATCCTTATTTCTTTTTTGCACTGGACGAGTGCAGATTAATAGGCGAATGGCCGAATACTTATGTGTACACTAAGGCGATCGCCGAAGACACGGTGCGACAATACAGTGTTGGATTGCCAGCCTGCATTGTACGCCCATCGATTGTAATAGCAACAGCGAAGGATCCGATAGCTGGATGGATCAACAACGTATATGGAGCGACGGGCATTCTAGTGGGCGCTGCCATGGGTTTCCTACGTTGTTTACATTGTGTGTCCGAAAATAAGGCGGACATAATACCCGCGGATTACGTAATCGCGAACATCATTGTCGCGGCTTGGGACACCGCTAAAAGGAAGTAAGTTAACATTCGGAAGGATGGCTTTTCGTCGTACATGTACATCTTGTGCTGCATCTCTTCGATTGTCACATCTTCTTGCCTAATGCGATCAGACTGAAGCATATGGTAACGTATATTCATCACTTCTCTAATGTACTTTTTATTTTTGTTAGAAATACTTTACTTAGCATTGACAACACAGATCCGAATATTTCGGAAACTAAGAGAGTGCCAATTTACAATTACGTGTCGTCGACCCAAAATCCTGTTACTTGGAAGACGTTCATGTATTTGATCGAGAAACACGGCTTGAATATACCGCCTCTGAACGCTATCTGGTACTATATGCTCCTTTTAATTAGATACCGATTTGTATATGAAATATGCACGATATTTTTGCATACAATACCCGGTGCCATATTTGACATTCTGGCTGTCCTCACTGGCCGAAGACCCATGTAAGAACTTTATCAAGTTTCTTCGACACTGAAATATGTAACTTGTTATTAATAGTAATATAAAAAGAAGTTAAAATAACGTAAATTTTTTACAAATAACAACGGGACCGATAAGGTGATTCCAAATCAAATATATTATAAAAGAATAAGATTTCTCTAAAAGTTATTTCCATAAAACAAAGAAAATTCTTTTCCTAAGAAAAGAAAAACAGATATTGCAAGTTCTCAAAGAGAATTATTCTATACATGAATGATTTTTGTAAGTTTCCTTGTCGGAGCTAATAAAATTAACAATTTTTATTTCTTAGACTGTTGAAAAGTTACAAAAAGTTACATACATTTAACGGAGTGATATCATACTTCGCGACGCGTGAATGGCAATTTCGCAATGACTCGGTTGTGAAGCTCTGGAATTGTCTAAATCCAATTGATCGTGAAATTTTCAATTTCAACATACAAGACTTGTCCTGGGACGAATATATTAAGAACATGATATTCGGGCTTCGTATGTACATGGTTAAAGAATCGATAGATAACTTGGAAGAAGCACACGTGAGATATAAGAAGTGAGTATTATTCTCTTAATATGTCTATCTTATCTTTTATTTTACAAAACGTATACGCTATGACTCGTTTTCTTTAGATTGAAGGTCGCCCACTATACGTTGTTAACCACCGGCTCGATTTTGCTACTATGGTTTTTCGTAAATTTAATATATTTTACAATATCGTTCTTTCTGTAAAATTTTTTGTTCCATTTGTTAAATTATGTTTAACGTAAAGATAAATGTGAAGTTTATGTATTCTTTTCCATGTATTGCATCCACTTAAAACAATGAAATAATTGATGCTACGAGCATTGTTTTGTATTCTTGCTAATTAACAATTAGACGAAGATGATTTTGATGTTGATTTTCATGTTGTTTATTTTCACTGCTACGTTCAAAGTTTTATATTTTATCATAAATATTTAACATTTGCTTTCTGCTATAAGTTTTTTTATGTAAAAGTGCTATACTAAAAGCAAACTGTATTTGCATACTTGCAAAATGATAATATATTTTATGCGGTTAAACGTCTATCATAACTGATATTTATAACATGATTACATCATATAATACCAAATCGACAAATACAAGTAGATGAATCGCTTGATTACCGTGTAGAAAATTCTTTGCTTTTGCCATTTAGAATGCACAATTTTATAACATAAAAGTGTTGCATTTCTTTTCTAATGTAGAGTACGAGAAAAACATGATGATTATATACAGTTTTATATACATATATAAAATCATATATAAAATAGCGATGATGATCTTATTAAATTACTCAATTATTGATTACGATATGATTATTTTATTGGTAACTCTATAACATAGATTATACTCTCTTTCTTTACCTACGTGTCATGCGAACTGGAATTATGTGCATACCTGTCCGTTAGATGGCAGCATACTGGCGATTTACCTTTCATGTAATATATTCTTTGAAGAGATCCGAGAGCGTTCTTTCTCATGATATTCTACAATAATTGATATTTTGAGATGTTCGAATGTTTGTGATTGTTTGCGCAACTTGCGACGTTAATATGTTAACTATATCTACTGCGTAACATCGGAAACGTATATCTGGTGATTACTTACCGAATTTTATAGATACAAATATAAAATAAGCTAAATATAGCAGCGCGTATATATATGTAAACTAACTGCTTTTCGTTAATTATCATCTAAATTTTACACCGAGTAATGTAAGCTTACGCTATATATTAGGTGTACAAATGAATAATCCAAATTATTTTAAGCAGTTATGAAATCAATTTTAAATTGAATAGATTTTCCCGCTCTTTTGTGATTATGCAATGTTGACATATATAGCTATTAAAAAGAACATAGTTTGGCGAAAGGTCCAACATAACCTTCAAAAGTATTCAGTTCAGTACAGTCGAAAATGGCAACAGATAAGGTGCATATCCGACACTGCATTCTTTACGAATTCCAACAAGGAAAAAATGCTGCAAGAGCGTGCGAATCGATTTGTTCCTTTCTCGGCGAAGGTGTTGTATCGTACGATATGTGCGCATTTTGGTTTATGCGGTTTAAAAGCGGTAATTTCAGTCTAATCGACAAACAACGCCCTGGAGGCCCTCCGAAGTGCGATAATGATGATTTGGAACAACTGCTCGCTGAGAATTCGGCACAAACACAAAAAGAGCTTGCAGAACAGTTGGGAGTAACGCAGCAAACGATTTCCAAACGCCTACATGAGATGGGAAAGATCCAGAAAGAAGGAAAATGGGTTCCGCATGAACTCACTGAAACTAACAAAAATCAACGAGTGGCAGCGTGTCTTTCTCTTCTCAATAAGCAGCGTCGAAAGCAGCTTTCTTGTGGAAAATCGTTACGGGCGATGAGAAATGGATACTCTATGACAATCCGAAACGCAGAAAGTCATGGGTAAATCCCGGCGAATCATCAAAATCGGTCGCAAAACCCAATCGCTTCGGAAAGAAGGTTCTTCTCTGTATTTGGTGGGATATCAAGGGCGTGCTTTATTATGAGTTGTTGGAACCGGGTGAAACAGTTACTGCGGACTGCTACCAACGTCAATTAATCTACTTGAGTCAAGAATTGGAACGAAAACGCCCGTATACTGGCAAACTGGGAGAACGTCCAGTGAAATTGTTGCATGACAACGCCAGGCCACACATTGCTTCCAATACAAAAGACACCATAATGAGTCTTGGCTGAGACGTCTTGCAGCACGGCCGGCGTATTCACCAGACATTAGGGATGGGCGACACAGTATCGATATTTTAAAATATCGATACTTTTGGATCTAAATATCGATATTTTGTATAGATCTTTTTCTTTTCAATATTACTGTGTATCGATATTTCAAGAGCAATATCGGACTTCCGATATAATTCAATACGAATCATTAGTATTGGGCGAGAATTTTAGCATACCGAAACTTTTGGAACTAACGCTACCAACCACAGCCATTCTCAGTTCCGTTTGCGTTTGAATTGTCGCAAACCGTTGCAAATTAATGGCGAATTCGATTGACATGCACTCGCTCCGTTCCAGTGCCTAATAACTTTTTGTTATTAGGCGCACTTGCTCAGAATGCGTACTTTTATGCTAACCTGAGTGCGGGTAATTTAAGAAGCTTTCTGAATTTGCGTACATATCGTGTAATTTGTTAAAAATATTCCGTCTTAAACGAAAATGTTGCTGAAACTAAACAAATAATATTTTTAATCTGCACACATTTAGGCCGGTATTCATAGTCGGATCTTATATTTAAGACCGTCTTAAGTTTATCTTCAGACATTGTATGGATCATTTTATTGGTTACATGGTATCTAAACATCAACTTAAGTCGGACTTAAATGTAAGGCTGCGTTCAGAAAATACAACGATTGAGCAATTCGTCAATGTAACTGGATTCCTTCCTTTTTTTCTATGAAATGACTAGGAATACATCTATTTCTGACGCATTCCAAAAACGGTAACTATAATAGATTTTAGTATAAACAATTATAAATCAATAAATAAATATATAGTAGGTACATAGTCAAGAAGAAGGATATTAGTGGTATCGACATTACTAATATCGATATTTTTAATGTATCGATATTTCTATTTATGATACGTATTGATATGAAATATCGATATTTTCTATTGTATCGCCCATCCCTACCAGACATTGCTCCATCCGATTATCACTTGTTCCGGTCGATGCAACACGCCTTGTCCGATATGCACTTTCAATCAGTGGATGAGATCCGAAAATGGCTTGACGACTTTATCGTGTCCAAAGACGTAACATTTTTCCGAGATGGAATTCATCAGCTGCCTGAAAGATGGCTTAAAGTTATAGAAAGCGACGGCGAATACTTTGATTGAACAATTTTATTGACTTTTTTTTAAAGTAAACCTTGAATGTAGCTGAAAAAATTGGATTATTCATTTGTACGCCTAATATATCGTCACCGCGTAACATACATAATACATACATACGCACCAGTTAGGCATAATCGATTAAATATACAGTCAATAGAGAGTCAATTAAACGAGCTAATAAATAAACGCATCGTGATTTGCATATTGGGTGGGTGCGACAGTTTCTGAAAGATGTCACGACTGGTAAAGCTTTTTATTGCCGCACTTATAAATATGTAGATGTGTAATGTACTATTGGATAATAGAAAATAAGAGCGATTACTCGGTAAAATGAATAATTTTATATTAATATATGCTTTTATATTATATGTTTTTAATAAAATTACCGAGTTCAATTTTTCTATCGCGAGATCTTCGACCATCGAAACTTCTGCACTCATTCAATATTATTTACCGTATTTGTGGTGATTTAAACTTCAGTCAAGCGACAAGGCAATTGACAGAGATCAGCGTAGCGCAGTCGATGCATCAATAATACGCGTACGATAATTTGCCAATGAGGATGCAACGATTGATCACATCTCCGCACGCTTGTCCATTACCGCAACGGAATATTAGCGGAGACCCACACGGAGAAGGCGCTAGATTATATACCGACGATATTTAGTAGTCATCACGCAAACACACACCCGGCCACGCGGCACGACGTGTCGATACGGCGGACCGTAGGAAATCCCACGCGTCCCGATCGCAGGAAATCACGAGTGCACGAGCGCGCCGGGGCTGTTAAAATCCTCGCGAGTCGTTATCGAATCGTTTAGCGTTTGGCACGTAATACGCCGGTCGCGCGGTTACGGTAATTTCAGCGCGCCGCTCGGCACGCTCCGGCGCGAAGCGTCCTCACGCCAGGCGGGATTCATCTTCGACGACGATGGCGCAAAAATTCGCTCGCTTACCCGCTGCATTCGGTCCACCCACCGGTCGGTGGGTGTCACGATCGCACATGCGAATACACCACTCCGGGCGATCATCTCGCCGGCGTATAATGCCGCGTTTCGCACGACAGCCGCTGCTTTATGGCCATTCTCACGCGTTCAAATGGATCCACACGCTGCGCGCGGGAACGTTGTTTCGCAAGACAAGGGAAGTTTCGGCTTCCCGTCCAGTGGCGCGCCACGCGCCGAGTTTTCGAATTCCGCGTCCTTGCCTGCCCCACGACGGATTTCCGGCTCCCATTGCCCATCGTTTCTGCCCTTATCGAAGCGAGTTCTCGAGGGATCTAGCCGAGCCGCATCTTTACATAAGCGGCGAAAAATGCAGGCCGCTCGATGACTAACAATATCCCGGGCGAGAGTGCACGAGAGCGAGTGCGCGCGCGCGAGAGAGAGAGAGAGAGAGAGAGAGAGAGGAGCGGAGAGCGCCGCGCGAGTCAGTCATACTTCTAGTTTCTCGGAACGGCAATTATCCGGAGATAGTTTCCTAGAGAAGATTTTTCGGATCTCCAGAGGGAGATACAATTCGCACGTGGGCGTCTTTGTCTTCGACTGGCGAACGGCGCCGGTTCTCAAAGGCGTGGCCATTGATTTGTCTACATCTCGGTCACACACACACACACACACACACATGCACGTGACGCACACTTACCGTGCAAAAAGCGTCGGATTGATCCCGCTTTGAAGTACTCGAATAGCAACACCCACATCCGCGGCCTCCGGCCATTCATCGGCAGATTCTCTGTCCCGCGATCGGCGATTCTCTCGATTCTCTTTGCGTTTAACCTCGCGTTGTTTAAACGATCGTTCGTACGATATGTATGCATCACACTCGGGACAGGTATCGATAACGAAGTTCGCATCAACGTCATCAACGGAGCTTTCTTTTCGCTGTTATCTCTGCATCACGGCCGGAGACGGAGAATCCGTCGAAGCGCTGCTCGACGGATCCTCATCGCTTCTTCCGCT